AATTCATTTTAATTGGTGCAATACCACAAACTAAATGACAGTACATCCAGAGCAAAATACTAGAACCGAATTTAACTTCAGGAGTTAAATTTAATGCAAAGTAAATTTCAGAATAATTAAGCACATATTGTTTAACAAGTTCACTGCTAGGAAGATGAGTTCACATCCGACAGGGTTCATTTAGAGCGCTAAGGACACAAGTTCATGTCCACATGTGTCTAAACATACCACTATTTCATTGCACACAAACCTGCTGGTAGTAGTCGCCAGGTTCAGGGAACCTGGAAGTAATGATCGAAAAATAAATACCCGTATGTTTGTTTGTGTTTCAATACAGTTGATTGGAATAATTTTGATTATGATGGCACCCTAATTTTTATCCCGTTAGTGTATGGTATGAAACTAGAAAAAAAGGCTTGGCAGTCAATGTGCTAATAAACAAAATCAACAAATTAGAACTCATACCCAGGGGCGGATCCAGAAATGTCCAAAAGGGGGGGCCGGAAGGGGGTCGAAAGTTGGGCCGATTGAGACAACACTGACGTAGGGGGTCCGGGGGCATGCCCCCGCGAAATTTTTGTGTTCTAGACGCCCGAACATAACATTTGAGGCATTCTTGGCCATCATTTTTTTCTTTTTCTCTGTTTTTTTCCTTTTTTTCTTCTTTTTTTTACCTCCCAAAAGGGGGGGCCGGGGCCGTGCCGGCCCCCCCTAAATCCGCCCCTGATACCCACATGACTCTAGCTGTGTATAATCTATTTGAGGAAGTGGTATACAATTTCTGATTCAGAAGTGATAAAATTTTATGCAAGATAATGTTGCAGTTATATTTTGGCATTCGGAGATACTCGTGAAAATAAAGATTACTTTAATGAAAGTGTGATTTCGCAACCTTAAAATATACATCATCTTAATTATGTTATTCATGCATAAAACATTAATTCTTGACCATAACCACCTGAATATGATTGTTGATTCATGAAAAAAAGGCATGGACCAGTTGTGACTGATATGCTTCTGTAGGAGATGGAGCGACTAAAATTTGATGACGAAATCGTATATTAGTTATCATTTTCGTAAGCTGGCAAAACCTACCTATTATCGTCTTGCTGGTACCAAGACACATAAATAGGTGTTTAGAGCATTCATAATACCTATTTATAAACTACTTTTTACGACCTATCAATGGTAACTTTATTATCCAGCTAAACCAAAGGTTAACCACTTAATATTCTAAGACAATAGCAATAAAACATAACATTTAGCTGAAGTTGAACACCTGCTAAACATCCTACTTACTATAAAAAGAGTTAGTCGTCGTACCGATAAACTGATGCTGCCTTTGAGACCAACTCATCACTAATGTTGTTGTTGATCACACGATCAAAGTAAGTAAAGGATAATCATATCATATTTGCATAAATGGTGAAAAAACCATGGCTCAACCTCTACAGTGACCCTTGCAGAGATGTTTTGAGATTTTGGTACAAAGCATTATTCAGTTATAAATGTGTTACCACCAACTGGTCATCACAGCAGGAATGTGATGCAGAACTGTATGGGATGCAATAGGCAATTGAATTGTCTTCAAAGTGACATCATATGACACATTTTTAATGAGAATCCAAATACTCGTTATTCGTCACTAGCTAAGCATTCACAAATATTTGAGTCAGCTTTACCAGTTAATCTAAAAAAGACTTGACACCCCCCATCCCCACCACCCCGGTCGAGATTCATTGTATCGTATTCAAGAGAGGGAAACCTAAACTTTTAATTTAATGATTTAAAAAGTCATTAAAAGACACCTCAGAAATTAGGAAAGCTCATTACCCGCCATCTAGGAATTAATATTTTTATGAGCCTCCGTTATCTTTAGGATTAATCCATTCATGGAAAAAAGAATATGTATGCAACTACTCAATCTTTTTATGCATACACACATAGGCTTATTTACTGTAATAAGAATGAGAAAGTTTTTACTTGATCATTAAATAAAGACACATCAAGTCGGGAAAGCACACTTCCCACTATATAGGAATCAAAATTTTCCCGGGAAGGACCCTCGAACCCCATTTATTTTTTTGGGGGTTTATCAATTCACGGAATAAGGAATACGTATGGAATTACTCAATTTTTTTTTCTGTATGTATACCGGAACACACTTAATAGGTCCATTTACTGTAATAAGAATGAGAAAAATTTACCTGACCTTTTTCAAGAGGGAAAAGAACCCAGTACATCTTTCGAGACGAGTAGGGGGTTACCCCGGTGTAGTGGTCCATCTCACAGCCCCTGTCACTGCGGACTAGACAGTGCACCTTCTTGGCCTGTGCATGACACGACAGGACCCTTGGGGGAGAAGTAATTTGTAGTAATGAGTAGTCCACATCTGTCGGGCCCGAAGCACTGTGAAGTTGGCCCTCCACCCGGAAGAACATATCTGGCCTAAACTGTTCAAATACATTTCAAAGCAGATAATATCCATAATACATGTACTGTACAAGTCACACAATTAGAATGATGCAAAAAAAATAATGGTTGGTGAACTTTCAGTAATATTAAATTGATGTACAATGGTTGAAGATTTTGCTTATTCTTATGCACAAAAACACAATCTATTTTTGGATGCGGCAACCTTAAAGTCATAGCTACAAGAAAATCAACTTGCGGTAACCTAGAAATTTGCAAAGCGAATGCCTTAAGGAAACATTGGAAAATATGATTATTAAAAATGTGTTGCTTTGGTATAGAATATTGAGCAGATAATTAAGTGCGACTCATTTTGCATGGAAATTGTGGTTGGTGCAATCGTTGGTATAATATAGTAAATCACTAAACAATAAATTGTATTGAATCCTTTCATTGGAAGTTCAATTAATTTTGATTCTTTTAAACGAGCAAATCGACAATTTCATTGATTGTGCTTCTTTTCACATTTGACTTTTCTCACTATTTCATAGGAATGGCCGACCTCACAAATAAAAACGCCACTGAAACGATTATGCGTTCATCAATATATGTTATTGCCGTCATCCAAATCATAATACTTGCCATCATGAGCTTGGTTGGAATTTTCGGAAATATGTTAACAATCATTGCGATTCTTTGTACAAATAAATTACAAATTACAGCAAACTATTTCTTAGTGAATCTGGCCATTTCCGACATTATTGTTTGTTTAATTGCGGAGCCGTTCTACATGCTGGCATTGTATCACCGCAAATGGCCGTTGTCCAAAGAATTCTGTGCTGCTGTAGGTGCTATATCATCCATTTCTATGGGAGCTTCAGTCTTAAATCTCCTGGCAATATCAGTAAACCGTTACATTTGTATAGTAAAGAACATGTACTATGCCAAACTATATAGCAATCGACGTACAGTGTTGTACTGTGTAGCCGTCTGGATTGCATCCTTAATCTCAGTATCACCAACGATTGCTGGTGTAGGTGAATTTGGATTCAACAAGTATTTTTTAGTTTGTGGATATGCAATGACAGAAGAAACATGGAAATGTCAGGTTGGTGAAATGGTTGTAAAGTTCATTGTCGCTATTTCAACTATTTTCTTCTGCTACTTTAAGATCCTAAAAGAAGTGTGCAAGAGTTCATGTCGTAGTAATAAACATAAAGGCAGCGACACCAGCCAGAGGAAGCTAAGCGGTAACGAGGTAAATACAAAAATGTTCCCAAAACTGCCGAAACAAGTTCACATGCTTAAACAGGCATGGGTAGAACATCGGGACAGAGACTTCCAAGTAGCTAAAACCTCCGCCATTGTGATCCTTGTATTTGTGCTATGCTGGACACCGTCTGTATTACATACCATTATTGATAGAGATTTCTCTGCTCCCACTGGGCTTTTGCAGGTATTTGCTTTTCTGGCGATGGGGAATTCTAGCATCAACCCTTTCATCTATGCCTGGCGAAATCATCATTTTAGGAAAGCATACAGGCGCATAATTACCTGCCAATGCCAGCAAGAAGACTTGGGTATTAGGGATAATTCTCAATTTTAACATGATTCAGTGATGCGCACTGAAACCCGAAGGGAATCAGATCAGATACATAACACCAGGATGTGATCTTCTAGAGGATGAAATATCTGTCACCAGATGGATGCACACACACTTGGATGAGTAGCCATCTGAATGACAAAACTGGAATGAGTGAAAAAGCCACCTGGATAGTGCAAGGCCCAGTGGCGTACATGGGAAGGGGGGGTGGGTGCACGCCCCTTCAAAAATTACTCACGCCCCCAGTCACCCCCCACCCCACAAAAATCACAGTAGTTAAAACTTATCTAATATCACCTTACTTTGCATATTAGTGCCCCTCAACTGATTATAAAGGCCTCCCTTCCCACTTCACCTTCACACACATCAGCACCCCATTTCAAGACTTCTAAATATGCCACTGGAAAGGCCATCTGCATGAGCAATAATAATATCAATTTGAATTTTGGAATAAATACACAAATGGGTAAAATGATCAGAAGCGTTTCGAGAGTAAAGGAAAGCCAGCACCATTAGTGATTCACTATGAACTCTGGTCAATTGCAAATTTACAGAGTACAAAAAAGTATATAGTATACAAAATGCAACTAAACCGCCACATGAATGGATAAAGACACCTGGAAAAATTAGTAAACAGCCAAGTGAATAAGTAAACAGCCAACAAGATGAGTGGACAGCTATCTTGATTATAAGCCACCTGGATAAGTTAACAACCGTATACATGAGTGAACAGCTAACTGGATGAATTAACAGCCGCCTAGTTAAGTAAACAACTCTATGGATTAGTAAATAGCACCAATGAACATGCACCTGGATGAGTGTCTTCAGAACCTGTATAGTTAAGAGCACAGCTATCAGTATGACTTCTAGGTTGCCATTTGGCCTTTTTGATGGCCAGATTCCTCAAATCTGGCCGTATAAAAATTCGCCTGGCCGTAACGTTTAAAAAGTTACGGACAAACTATATTTGGCCGAATTTTGTGAAAAGTTTACATTGTTTTTCAATATAGGCATAATATAACGTAGACTTGTTTTGGATATGCTCTTCTGTATGAAAGCTTTGGTTCTAATGGTGTACCTTTACTTACATTGAACGTTTTTGTCATTGAAGATTTGATAACAGGCCCTTAAAGTTATTGCTATAGACCAATTACAATGTACATTATTTAATACATTTAAATCAAATTTAGATCTATCTTAATAATGTGAATTTAAATAGGTCATGCTAGCAACTAATTATAGAACATACTTAATATTATGATGTAGCTGGGAATTTAATTATGGTGACTAATTATAAAAACACTGAAAAGATTAACATTGTTCTGTGTATATCATTTTAATTTCTTCAATTTTAAACAAATGACAGTTGATTTTTGTATTTTAAATGAATTTTATGTACCCACTGTTGTCTTCTAATCGGATTAAAATCTGGCCGAATTTTGGCCGATATCGAATAAAGTTTGGCCAACTTTGGCTGTGAGATAGCGTGTGTCTGGCCATGAACCTGTCGACTATCTGGCAACCTGCTTCTACTGGCTTCTAAGATAAGTTAATAACCACATTAATGTTCAGCATCCTTGATGACTAAAAAGATACCATGAACAGCTTTTATGCTAGGTTTTAATAAACATTAAATACATCAGTAAAATCAATCAACCATGGCCATTAGCTGCAATCAGCTCTGGCTATTGTTTCTTTCAAGCTACCCTGTTTTCCCAAGTACTATAAGAAAAGATGCATTGACAGTGCACCATTTTAAAAATCCATCATTTGAAATTGTTTAATACACTAAAATGAATAAAATTATAGTAAGTTGCACTATTTTAAAATTTTAGTTATTATTAGGATGTAGAAATGATTTTGATGTTAAATGTGCTAATGGACCGTTCCACAAGCCCTGGCCCTTGGATATTGTTATCAATAGCCCACAAACTGATAGTGTAAAAGTTCTAAGATCGTGCTCTTTCGTAGTGATTCATACTCAAAAAGTTCAATCACTTTACATTTTGTCAAGATGCTATCAGGACACCGCCAAGATGCATTACAGCAGTAATGCGATAGTACGACGACGCTGTTACAAATTACAACAATAGAGTTATGACAACGTTAAGATTTGTCACAACGTACTACAAAAATTACCAAGATTGTATGATGACATCACTATGACTTTACAAAGACGAAAACATGGTGTCAATACGATTTGCCAAGACGCCAGTTTGATTTAACTAATCACATGAAAAAACAGGTGTAATTAACAAATATTTGAATGTTGTCGTCGCCATAGTTGTTGATATTTTACCATGTTCAAAAACCTGAAATATATTCAAGCTGCTGCTCTAGGTGACATGACCACATTGAATGAGTGTGAAGGCACCGAGACGCTGTCACAACAATGACGACGTTACGACACTCTTGGTCTACACTTACGACGACGCTGCAGCGGTAGACAAAGATTTGCAAAAAAATTTCGCTCCATCACAATTGCAACAAGATCTAGTACGATGTGCTACGGTAAATTACCACTGACCAGGAAATTTAGTACGACGCATAACCATGTGATCAATGTAACACCTAGAAGTAAGGCCTAGATAAGACATGTCTTTACTTTCTTTATGTTTACCTCACTTTTTAAACATATCTTTTATTTTCACTTATCTCTATAATCCCATTAAATCTAACCACATGATCTATGAAAAACCTGTGCATTTTTTATATATTTACTTCCTTTATGACCTATATATTTCACCTTTGTTTAAATATCAAGATTTAATTTCCTGGTCATGGTGTCATAGTTAGCTCCAGAAAATGTTACAAGGTGATTTACACAGTAAGAAGACATATCATCAGGAATGATGATGACATAATTAATGTTGAAATATTGAATCCCGACACGATGGTGTGCATTTCGAAACTTGGAGTATGTATTATACTATCTTATCTGAGATTATTCAGTGGACCTTTCTGTTTTATAAGTAGAGTTGCCTAGGAGGATGGGTATAAATTTTATAAAGATGGTGAGGAAAGGGAATTTTAGATTGCAAGGTAATCTAAAAATAGGCTCCCGGCAGGAGCGTGTCTACTGCCTTATACAGGAGTTTTTGTTTTTTTAATTTTATCTTATGTTCTTCAATATGCAGATGAGTGTATTATTGTAGTGGTCTGGATTTTTCATAAAAATTATCTTTCTAACAATATTCTGTATAGGCCTACTACTACTGTATATTACACTAAAAACACTTTAAAAATGGGTAACTTTGGGAGTTACCACGTTGTCTTTGATCACGAAGAGTACTACCATGTTCTAGAGGGCGTCCTTCAAATGAAGGTAAAAGGTGTTCGTGGTGAATGCGTGCTGCGTCTCTATAACACTTGTTCGAGTTTCAAACACAATTTTGTTCGAGTTCCGAAGGCTATTTGATTGTCAATAGAGCGCCCCCTACCTTGTGGTAGTAGTACCCATCATGCCTAAACCGAATTTACCCTTTTCCGCCATCTTTAATTGCACATCATGACGTAGTGTCTACGCCCCCGTTGGGGGCAGTAGACACAAACACAGGAGGATGGCTTCTGAAAGAGTGGGATAATGACTTGTTCGAGTGGGGTGTCCACTTAATAGGGGTGTCTCAAGGGAGGGATTCCACTGCATATATACAGCTCTTTCGGCAGGATTTTTTTGAAGAGTGGCGAATTTCAGAAAATGTTGTCTACAAAATTTAAAGGGTGGCAAGCAAGATGTTAAATGGTGGATACATTCTTTATTAAAGAAAACACTATAAAAGAATGTCACAAAAAACCCAGGTCATGGTTTATTTAGGTACATGCAGTGTGGAGGCAGAACAGAGACAAAAAAAAAACAAAAAAAAAAAAACAAGAAATCAATTACAAATAAAGACAATTCACCCATTCAGGCGAGTGTCTGGCATTCCAGATAACACAGCTGCTGGTCAATGCCAGTTCGCTAATTTGCTTTTCATACTTTTACATCGCTTATTACTTAATTTTAAAATATTATTTAATCTCGTTTCAATATCTTTAGAATATACTCCCCTAGAACCCACCTCCAGGCAAAACAATGTGCATTTATAACCTTTATCTTTGATATCGTTGACGATGTCGTCATATTTGCTACATTTATAATTATGTGCCTTGGTTATATTTGGTTCTAGTGGCACCGTCAATTGTCTCAGTTGCCTTGTTAGATTAATCAATTTAGAATATGTCTGGCTTAAGGCTTGTATATAATATATTAGGGGGAATTGATCTACCAGCTACAGAAAGGCCAGGCAGGTCTGCATATACCTTCGCTGACTTTCTGAGGTCCTTAATAGTTTTGACAATAAATTTTAATATTGAATTGTGTCGCCATCTATAACACGCAAAGTGTTAACGAGTGGATACATTTTTTGTACTACTCAGTGTCGGGCACAACGCAGCATGACCCTAATCGTCTCAAAAGACGCACTGGGTTCTTTATAGTGCATGAGCCTGTTGTGTACAAAATTTAAATTTCATTTGCTCGACACCTTTAATTATTATTTTTATACATAATATATATATAAAATCATTCTTTATTAAAGAAAACACTATTAAAGAATGTCACGGAAAATCCAGGTCATGGCTTAATTAGGCACATGCAGGGTGAAGGCAGAACAGAGACAAAAAAAGAAAAGAAAAAAAAGAAGAAATCAATTACAAATAAAGACAATTCACCCATTCAGGCGAGTGTCTGGCATTCCAGATAACA